CCCACCCAATGCCCCCACCCACCCAAACATCCAGTCTGACTGGAGAAAGCCGGATGCCCGCTGACCCTGGGCCGGAGGCGGGCAGTGGCTGGCCAGGCCTCCTCATGTCCTGCCTGAAGGGCCCCCATGTCATCCTCAAGATGGAGGCCATGAAGATCGTCCACCCTGAAAAGTTCCCCGAACTACCAGCGGCTGCCCCCTGCTTCCCATCCGCCCCCCGGCCCACCCCCACTCTGGCACCCAAGCGTGCCTGGCCCTCAGACACAGAGATCATTGTCAACCAGGCATGTGGGGGAGAAATGCCTACCTTGGAAGGGGCACCCCACACCCCACCCCTGCCACGGAGGCCCCGGAAGGGCAGCGCAGAGCTGGGCTTCCCCCGCGTGGCGCCAGCGGACGAGGTCATCGTCAATCAGTACGTGATTCGGCCTGGCCCCGCTGCCTCCGCGGCTCCTTCGGTGGCGGCAGCAGGCGGTGAGCCCCTGGAATGCCCCACCTGTGGGCACACGTACAACGTCACCCAGCGGCGTCCCCGCGTGCTGTCTTGCCTGCACTCTGTGTGTGAGCAGTGCCTGCAGATTCTCTATGAGTCTTGCCCCAAGTACAAGTTCATCTCCTGTCCCACCTGCCGCCGTGAGACTGTGCTCTTCACCGACTACGGCCTGGCCGCACTGGCTGTCAACACGTCCATCTTGAGCCGCCTGCCGCCTGAGGCCCTGACAGCCCCCAGCGGAGGTCAGTGGGGGGGCGAGCCTGAGGGCAGCTGCTATCAGACCTTCCGGCAGTACTGTGGGGCGGCGTGCACCTGCCACGTGCGGAACCCGCTGTCGGCCTGCTCCATCATGTAGCGCCCACCCCCCCACCGCTGCCCGCTGGTCCTTGCTCGCCACTCCTTCGGGGACCTGGCCCTGCCCCACCACCCGCTGACCCTTCCTCGCCCACCGTGGCTTCTGGCCACACCCTGCGTGGCATTGTCGCTGCAGCCAACTTTGCCATTAAAACTCTGCCAAAGTTTGCACCTGTTTCCTGGACTGAAGCTTGCTCCTGTGGGCTGTGCCCAGGTTGGGCCTAGGGTGGGTGCCCAGGGCTACAGTCCAGGCAGGGTCCAGCCTGCAGCCACCAGAGGCAGGCCCAGCGCATTCAGGGCTGGCCTGCTCTGCTCACTGGAGGCCAGGCTGGGCTGAGCACACAGCTCCGGAGGGCTAGGCCTGGTTGTGAGCGTGTGTGCAAATACCTACACGTGCAGAGCTACTTGTGTGTGCCAGGGAGGGCTCTGGGCGGGTTTGTAGAACCAGCCCAGCTGGGCAAACAGAGGATGTGTCCTCTGCACTGACTGACAGTGGCGGTGGGTGTGGGGTGTGCCTGCATGGGGGTGCAGGTCAGTCGATGTCCCTCCCGGTGCCCACCTGGCCCTGAGCACCCCCTGGGTCTTCCAAGACTGTGTGGGAACAGCCTTGGACAAAGGCTGGCCTGAGACTGTGGCAGGGGACTGAGGACTGGGGTCCTCCTGTCTGACACGCAAACCACCTGGGTTTGGAGGAGGGACCTTTGCAGGGTGGCATGAGGGGAGCCTGCCTGGATGATGAAGACAGGGCAGTCACGACCATCGTATTTAGAGTGGCCACTGTTTACTGAGAGTCGCTCTTGTGCCAGGCACAGTACTAGGCCTGCCACGCTCTATCTTGCACCATGTCACCCAGCAAGCCCGTGAGGTGGGCTTCGGACGTCTCCGTCCTTCAGATGAAGATCTCAGGCTTGGCAGTATGAGGTTGTGCAGGCAGTTAGGGCAGAGCCACGGCTTGGGCCTGGCACCCTCAGGTCCCCAGGCCTGGGTGGGCCCTTGTCCCTTGCAGCACAGGCCAGCACCAACTCCTGGGTTGCTCTGGCGTTCAGAGACACGCACTGGCCCTTGCCTGGGACCCAGCGTAAGCAGGGCCATGCAGCCCCTGCCCTCTCCCAGGAACTCACTGCTGGATCTCTGTTCACCTTTGTGTCCGTTGTGCTGGGGCCTCCGGAGGGGGAGGTGTGGCCCAGTGGCAGTCATGGCCAGTGCAGTGACCCGCCTCCGCCAGGTGCATGGGGCCCTGCTTGCACACCTTCCTGCCGGCTGGCCTCCTCCGGCAGCTGTCCTTGGTCCCTGGTGTCCTTGGCGCGGCTGGTGTCTGGGCAGCAGGGCAGTCGTAGACTCTTTGGCAGCGGCTGGGCCCCCAGGTGGGCCTGGGCCCTGGTCCAGTGACAGAAGGCCTTGACCGAAGGCCAGTGCCCTGGGTCCCACCTTGGGTTTTTCGGCCCAGGCATCAGGCCTCACACCACCCAGGTGTGGGGACGTGGGCGTGAGGGTGGTCAGGGTGCTGCTCGGTGGCTGGAGCGGTTCAGGAGCATGAGGAGCAACCCTAGCAGCACGAGCGGTGTGGCGACAAGCCCCAGCCCCAGCAGCTCCAGAGCCAGCAGGCTCAGCAGTGCCAGGCGGCGGGCACAGGGCCCGCGCTCCCGCAGCACCCAGAGCCAGGCACTCAGGCGGGGTGGGCAGGGCAGGAAGGGCAGGCAGCCCCGGCCGCCCCCGGGTCCTGCCAGGAAGCGCAGCTGGTAGCGGTGCTCCAGGGCGCCCCAGGGCCAAGGGCCACGGTGGCGGGGGACGGGGGTGTCGCTGGGCGGTGGGCGTGCGGGCCCGTCGGCCTGCAGCAGCTCCTCCTGCAGCTGGCATATCTCCCACTCCAGCATGGGCGTCTTCTGGCGGCACAGCGGGCAGCGCACACGGCCCAGGTCGGCGCTGGGGATGGTACCCAGCAGCCGGTGGAGGCAGCCCGAACACAGGCCATGGCCACAGTTCAGCAGAACCAGGCAGTGCTCGTGCGGCCCGTAGGGCTCCGTGCAGATGGGGCACTCCTCCTCCTCCTGCCCCTGCCCTGCTGCCTCCTGCTCCTCCCCCTCCTCCCTGGCTGGTAGGGCCCAGGTGCTGGCCATGGCCCCCAGCAGGGGCTCACTGTATGTCGTCCTGGCACCCTGGGGGACCCCGAGGCCCTCCCCTTCACTTGCCGACACCTGGCACAGTGGAGCCAGGTGCTCAGGCCCCAGAGGGGCCCCAGGTGGACGGGCAGGCTCAGAGCTGCAGTCAGCCGGGCTGCAGGAGCCAGGATAGGAGGGTGGGGGCCCCAGGGTGGCGGCAGGAGTGGTAAGGCGGGAGAAGGTCGGTGTGGCGCTCAGGGGCGGGCAGTCTGGGCTCCAGCACTGACCTCCTCCAGGCTGGAAGTAAACTTCGCTTGGGCCCAGCAGGTGTGCCAGCTCCAGTGGCTCCCAGACCCACACAGCACCGTCCCCAGCCTGGCCTCGGCCTCGTCTAATCCTGTGCCAGCGACTGACAGACGGACAAACAGGCTCTGCGGGGTGATGTGGGCTGGCCTGCCGGACTCCTCCAACAGGATTTTCCCTCCCAGCACCAAAGGCCCCTCCCAGAGGCGGAACAATGGCTGCCACACCCCTCCGGGCGGTGCGCCTTGCTCTGGGTGTGGGCCTGCTCCCGGACAGGGCAGAGATGGCACACACCAGCCTGCCTGGGGCCTCCCCTGTACCTCACCAGGGCCCTTCTGCCGGTCACCCCTGCTTGGCCACCAGAGCCCGGCAGAGCTTGGCTGACCTGCCTCCAAGCCTTGAGTTCACAGTGGAAACAGCAGGCGCTCACCATGTTAGAATTAGACACCAAAGTTGTAGCAGCAACCCAGGCAAAGGTGGCTGAGCAGTGGCAGGTGCACCACCACACCGGATGGGTTCCTCCGAGCTGTGGGCCCGCCTACCCACCCGCCACCCGGGAGGAGCTGGAGGAAGGAAGAAAGCGCACGTCACAAGCAGCCACCGGGAGGCATCATTTACTGCTATTTTCCTGGAACCAGGAGAGGAAGGGGCTGCACGGGCTTGGGCCCTCCCACTGCACCTCAGGAAGCCAGGGTCCCCCTGCCTCTGTCTGAGCCCTGCAGGTGTCGGGGTGACTGGGATGACAGCAGGCTGCAGTGGGAGTGGCTGGGGAGTCCCCAGGGCAGAGGAACCAGTGCAGCCTCGCAGGGACCCTGCACACGTTGGAGGGCTCGGCAGGCTGCCTGTGCCTTCCTGGGTCACTGTACCTGTGTGGGTGGTGCTGCGCAGGGCACCACCTTGGCCAGGTCGGGGGGGACATGGACACAGAGCTGTGTGTCAGGGTGAGAGATGGGAGGGGTCGCAGAGGCTGCAGCAAAGCCAGGGCTGAGAGGCCAGGACTCGGGGATCCAGGGGGGTGTGGCTGTGTGCAGGGAGCTGGCTGTCCTGACCAGCAGGGTGTGCAAGCCCCAAGCCTGGTCTTAGAGGACTCTGGGTCCAGACCAGGCCTGGAGGTGACAACGGCCCCTCTGCCAGGTGTTTCCCTCTGGACTCCCTTCCCTGGGCCTGGAGATGGCCATCGGACCGGGTGTGGGCTGTCGGGACAGCTCCTCAGGCCCACGTCTCCGTCTGGAAGCGCAGCGTCCGCTGAAGCCTGGCCAGGTAGGCGGCCGCGTCGGGGCCAGAGAGCCCGCCCTCCTCCTGGAAGATGGACGTCAGCGCTTCCGAGACGTCTGCCGGCATGTACTTGGCGTTGCTGGAAGAGCATGCGCACAGGGTCAGTGGGGCTGAGACCCCTGGGGGACTGGGCCCCCTCCTGCCATACCCCAGGCCTGGCTTACCCTGCCAGGTAGAAGCAGGCGCCCTGGCAGTCCAGCAGCTCCCACACGAGCGGCCCAAGCTCCCGGAGCCGGTGCTGCACGTACACCTTCCGCTCCTGCAGGGCGGGAGATGGGCAGGGGGCTGAGCCTGAACGCCCCCCCCAACCCCCGGCTCCCAGGCACACCCACCTGCTCTCGGGAGAAGGCCGTGACCAGGGTCAGGCAGCCCTTCCTCTCCAGGTCCCGCCACTCCGCCTCCCAGTAGAAGTCCTGGTCCTGCCAGCGGCAGCCAAAAAACAAGACGTTTCCTGGGGGAAATGCAGGGTCGTCTCAAGTCCGGACACAGGCCCTGGAGGTTCAGTCGGCGCAGCCTGGCTGTGGCCCTGCCCTGGGACCCCCGTGTGCTCACCAGTCTGGCCCTGGGCCACACGCTCCTGGATGGCTGCTCGGAAGGGGGCCACCCCAGTGCCAGGCCCCACCATGATCACAGGTGTGTCCGGCGTTTCCGGGAAGGCCAGGCCCCCGGGCCGCACCCACAGGGGCACCCGCACGGCTCCTACGGCAGGAGGTGGCGTGAAGAAGCTTGAAAGACCTGGCGTTGTTGTGGGTACAGGGGACAGGAACCCTAGGCCACATGTTCCCTGGGAGCAGGGTCACCTTGTCCAGGGTCCAGGGACGCCAGCCAGGAGGAGCAGAGGCCGCGGCGGGGCTCCTTGAGGCGGGTCTGGTACTGCACCACAGCCACGAGGATCTGCAGCCGTGAGGGGTGTGCCTGGGGGGGGGCGAGGGGGCAGGACCGGTGGGCGTCCTGCCTGGGGAGACCACCCTGCCCGCTGCGTAGGCCACAGGCGCCACCCGGGGCGGTCCTGGGCAGGGGAGCGCCTCCTGGCCAGAGGGCAAGTTTTCCCAAGGCCAGTCCCGGCTCCACCCACCAGGCCCTCACCAGCAGGGAGGAGGCGATGGAGAAGGCTCGCGGCCGGATGGCGGGGATAAGGTCCAACAGGTAGTCTGGTGGGATGGCGCCAGCCGTGTGCGGGAAGTCACACAGCACCTACGGAAAGAGTCTCAGCATGGCCACGGTGTGGCCGGGGCTCGGGACCCGGCGCCCGCCCAGCCGCCGGCCTCACCTCCAGGATGGTCCTGCGGGGGCGGCTGCAGTACTCGTGGAGCTCCTCCTGGCCCTGGGCAGAGCTGAACTCCAGGAGCTTCTCCCTCTCCAGCTCATGGGCGGACAGACAGGCCAGGAGCTCGAAGAAGGAGCGGCGAGGGACACTGGCAATGTCCAGGTACTGGGACACGAGGTGCCGCATGGAGCAGGGCTGCGGCAGCCTTGGGGGGCAGGAGACACCTGCGGCGGTGAGCAGAAGATCCCCGTGGGCTCAGGCCGGGCCCTCGGGTGGGGGCTGAGGGCGGGGGGACGGCCGTGGCCGGGGCGCACCTGGCTCCCGCGGCTGCAGCGTGAAGCACCGGTCGGGGTCCAGGCCCAGCACCTGGCAGAACTGCTGGACGTGGGCAGCCGAGTTTGAGGGCTGAATTAGCACCACGTCGCCAGCGGCAAAGCTGTGGGAATACCGCGGGGCTGTGAGGACTGTGTGGGAGGGGTGTGGGGGCTGGGGGAGACTGCGGAGGGAGGGTGTGAGTGTCCCAGGAGGGCTGGGGGTCCCCGGACAGAAGCCATCGGCTCTGCAGCCTGACCCCAGCCTCCCTGCAAGCTGCCTCCTCCCCAGCTCCGGCAGAGCCTCTGCACCCCGGGTCCACAGCCCTTCCGCACGCTGCCCTCCTCGGCTCCCTGGGGCACCTCCGCACCCCGCTGGCTCCAGGAGACCCCTGCCCGCTGGTGTCCCCGGCTGTGCTCGGACCCCTCACCTGATGCCGGAGCCTGTGATGTCGAAATCGATCAGCCGAACGTCCTGGAAGTGCAAGGGGCCGGTGACCCTCTGGTTGGCGACCATGGGTGCCAGGAAGGGCTGCAGCTCTGACGGGGGCCCTCGAGAGTCCGGGCTGGCCGCCCTCCGTTCCTCGGAGCACGTGCCGGGAGCCTCTTGGAGGAAGTGCAGGGTGAACTTGGAGGGCAGGCTGCAGGGAGGGCGTCACGAGTCAGACCAGGGACTTCCCTCGCCAGGGGCCACTGACCCACACCTTGGAGGGACCCAGGGCGAGGTCCCCAAGGCCAGGCTGGGTCTGCTGCACCTTCAGGGGCTGACCCAAGGCCCACACTCACGGGACTCCAGGGGGGATCACAGCGAGGTCCCGAGGCACTGGGCACAGCTCCAGCACTTTCTCCCACAAGTCCTGCAACCAGGGGTCGACAGCAGCATCAGGCCTGGGAGAGAGCAGAGCCCTGGCCTCAGCAGACCTGCTCCCGGCGGGCCGGAGCCACGGAGGCGGGCGCCACCTCCCACGGACTCACCCCAGCTCATGCTGGTCATCGCCCAGGCACACGGGCAGGAGGGCGCTGCCCCCGAGCTGCAGCAGCCGTCGGTGCAGCTTCTTGGCCACGAAGTTGTACCTGTGGAGACAGCGAGGCCGGCTCTGGACCGGCTCTGGACCCAGCCAGGGCTTGGGTCACTCCTCAGTGGATGGGGGGAGCGAGGAGTGACCAGGCACCTTCCCAGGGGCCGGCTGTTTCTCACTTTGGCTTATAAAGGCGCGACTCGCTCCTTGTAACACACCTTCTCCAAGGAACGCTGTCGGTAGTTGGGAGTTCCTCCGTCCCTCCCGCCCGCCCTCATGCCTGTGCACGCCACCAACACGAATATCACGCCACATGGAGAACAAAACCTCCCAGCAGAAATACGTGATGTTGCCACCCTTTTCCGTTTTCTGTCCTGCTCGTCCGAAGCGACTAAGAACCTCGCCAGGCACACAGCTTTGGCTACGCAGTGCGCGACAGCCCCTGGGTCCCTGCTTGGTCAAGCGGTTTTCAAAGTTTTGGTGTCTTAAGATGCCACCTGCACCCTTGAACACAAACCCCTTTATTTCCTTAGGAAATCACGCAAAACAATACTACTCCCTGCTTGGGGGTGCAGGTGTGCGCTGTGAAAATGCAGAAAGAGAAAATCCGGAGGTGGTCCCACTGCCAGGGAAGCAGTGTGTCCTCTGTGGGTGCCCTACGTCACGAATGTCTCACACTACATGTTTTTGTAAAAGTGGGGAACAGCGCCAGGTAGGTCTTTGCTGACTTTTGTCATGGGCTGTGATGGGACTCCCAGGTCCAGTGGTGGCACTCTGCTGCCCTGCCCCCTTCCCCTCTGTGCCCCCATGTCACGCGCCAGGCGGCCCGCTGGGGAGCATCTGCAGGTGAGGACTCGAAGTCAGTGCCACTCAGGGGCCACATGGCCTGCAGAGGCCGACCTGGGGGTGGGCCCCTGGCCCTCCCCAGCACACTGCTTATCGGTCAGAGTGCTGGGCCAGCGCATCCACCCTCCGCTACTCACTTGGCGTATGAGGAGTCCCCGAGGCCCAGGACAGCAAAGTCCATCTGACAGAGGGAGGTGGGGGGCAGGTTCTTCCGGAATATAAACCTCCAGAAGTTCTACAGCCAGAAGAAACCCCGAGTTAGAGTTCCCGACTCTCGGCCTGCCCTCTAGCTGGGAGGGAGGGAGGGAGGGTCTCAGCAGAATCCACAGAAACGGGGGCAGAGCAGAAAATATCTGCCCACAAGGCAGGGCCTGCAGGACGAGGGCTGGCCCAGGGCCTGGCAAGACCAGGGCCCACCCTGCCTGTGGGAGGCCGGGCAGCCCTGAGCTCCAGGCCCAAGCAGGGTCCCTTCCCAGGGCGCCATACCCTCCTGCTCCTTGAGAGTTTTATGTTATTAAAACAACAAAACCTTTTTTTTCATTCCATTACAATGGCAAGAAATTTGAGAAAACGCATGAAGTCCTAAAGGAGAAGAAAGCTACCTCGCACAGGCACTGGGAGGCGACTCCTTCAGGGGGTCATGGCTGATGGGCCAGAGGCTGGCGAAGGTTCCACATCCAGAACAACCCCGGCCTCTGGCCTCCAGGGCTGGTGGACGCATCTGCTCCCCGTCAGCCCCCCCTGGCCACTCTCTTCCCTCACGCTGAGATTCCCATGTCCCGAGAGCCCCTCAGCTCTCCACCCACGGCCATCAGCCTGTACCCCATGGGCACAGCAAGGGCTGAGCTGTCCGTTTTCTCTCCCTCAGAACTCCCCACCCCAGTGGGCCCCAGGCTACCATCAGGAGGCTCTGCCCGGACCCCATCTCCTCCCTTGCTCTGTACTTGACCCCCACCTGTCTGTCACTCCCCAGCTGGGGCGTGGGCCTCCCTCTGCTCCAGTGGGTCTATCCCAGCAGGTCTTGTGCCCAGACCCTAGAGCTCTGTGTCCAGGACATGCCCCTCTTCTTCCCAGACTGGACCAGACAATAATGCCTCTTCTCCACACCTGCCTCTGCAGTGGTCTCCCTGCTGCTCAGAAGCCTGTCTCCTCCTGACCTCCAGCCAGGGTGACCTCAAGCCCCCGGCACATCCTCTGTGCACTGTCTTCACCACCCCCCCCACTGCCCTTTCTGTGGACAAGCACGGAGCTGAGAGTGGGGACCCCCGGACCACTCTGCAGGTGGAGAGTCAGGCGTGTAGCTCGGTCCACTGGCCTTGGACCACCCGCGAGAGCAAACACACTCTGCCTCTGGCCGCACTGGGCCCTCACCAGCTCTCCTGGGGAGAGGCCCTCTTTCCTGCTGCTCTCGGTAGAGAACCTCTTCCTGAGAAAGGGTTCAGAAGAGGTAATTTCCACGGCCTTTCCTGCTCGCAGATGTCTTGACTTTCCATTCACGCTGGATCGGCAGGTCGGCTGGGCACGTTGTAGACTGAAATCCCTCCTCCTGCAGAAGCTGCTTTGCTCTGGGCTCTCCCAGCCTGGCGCCACTGCCCCTTTGAGCGTGTAGGGCACTTCCTTTGTCCCCAACAGCTAAAACCCACAGTGGCGCTCCTGGCGGGGGCCCTTCCCAGGCAGGTGGCTAGCTCTCTCGGGCTGAAGACTTCAGTTCAGGGACATTTTGTTACCTTCCTTGATAATTTCTTCCCCGACATCGTTTTCTCTTTCTGAGCTACTGGAATGATCTTCAAATTTTTATGTCTTTCTTCCATTTTCTATCTAACTTTTTATTATACTTTCTGTGAGGATTTCTCAACTTTATCTTCCAGTCTTTTAAAGTTTTTTGATGTCCTCTTAAAGAACCGTTCCTGAGCCTCCAGCTTTTTCCTGTTCTTGTGCTGGCCTCGTCACATTGTCATGTGGGGGCCGTGTCCTCTGCAGAGAGGGTCGCAGCTGGTCTGGCCTCTGCTTGTCCCTGCTCCTTCAAGTCCCGTTTGAGTTTCTCTTGGTCTCTGCCTTTCACTGGGTCCTTCCTTCAGCATGTGGTGGTTCTTTGTGGCCTATTTGTATTTAAGAAGCTAAAAGAAAACCTTGCGGACGAGCCCGTCACCCAGCAGATTTTTCCACCAGGAGATGGGGCAGGGACTTTGTCCTTGGCCTTTTACTGTGGACTTCGGTTTCTTCAGAGAGGACCACTCCTGCCGACTGCCTGGGATGCACGTCTCACCTGCAGCCTTCTCAGCAGGGACCCCAGGAATGAGGCCAGGGTCCGCCCCTTTAGAACATGGATGGCCACTGAGGAGCCTCGCCTCTGCCTCTGTGTCCCTAGGCCTGGGGTCTGCAGCCTCTTGCAGGAGCCCCCATCCCTGCTGTGGGGGCAGAGGGCAGCCCACGTTGGCTCCCCACTCCTCGTGTTCTCCGCGGGGCGCTCAACCCTGAGACTCCCTTTGTCGACCCAAGTCCCAGCAGATCATCCCCACCTTTGTGCTGTCGGCTGCCTGACTGCCCAGCCCGGCTCAGACCCGAGGGAGGTCCAGTCCCCCTCCTCTCCCACGCCCCGCATCCTCCGCATCCTGCCTCTCGCCTCCTGCCTTTGCTCCCCTCTGCCACGGTCCCTGTTGAGAAGATCCCCACCTGTGCTCAGGTCATCCCAGTTCTGTCCCCATTCGGTCCTGAGCCTCCTGCCCAGTCTTTTCCTCCACCAGCACTTAAACATGCCAAGTCTCTCCCATCTTATAAACACCTTCTTTTTAACTCCTCAGCCCTTTTACAGCCAGAGTTTTTGTTTCGAATGCTCACTCGTAAAATATTCTCTCTACTCACTTGCTTATTTGCAGATTTCTTGTAATCTGGCTTCTCTCAAGAGCCACTGAACCTGTTCTCCCTGATGTCGCCAATAATCTTTTTGCCAATAAATCCCATGGATGCCTCTCAGGCCTCATCTTATTTGACTTGTGCACAGCTTTGAATGCGATAGCCCTTCTTGGAACATCTGCCTCCCTGCCCTTTACCTTGGGATGGTGCACTCCCTCCTGCAGCTGCTTGTCCACTTCCTGCCCTTCCATGCCCCAATATTCAGGGCAGCCTGTCATCAGGGGAGGGAAGAGCTTTCTTTTCTCACACCTCTGTATTCTGGCCACTTCAACATCCACTGCGGTCCCCAACCCCCGAGCCATGGCCCGGTACCGGTCCATGCCTGTTAGAGTCTGGGCTGAGCATCACTGCCTGAGCTCCGCCTACCCCCTGCCCCCACACCTTGGTCCGCGGAAAAACTGTCTTCCATGAAACCAGTTCCTGCTGATATGTTAAATGGTAAAAGAAAAAAGAAAGAAACCAGTCCCTGGTGCCAAAACGATTGGGGACCACTGAATATCTGCCTCCACCTCAGGGTCCTACTTGGAGCTCCAGACCTACTGCACATCAACACCTGGATGTCTCCAGGCACCCTGCGCCCCCCATGCTTTCTCCCCGTGTTCTCTATTTCTGTGCACGGAACTACCATCCATCCTGCTTCCAGAGCCCAAATCCCTGTCTGGATTCTGCCTCCTTTCTCATCTATCAGATCCATTCAATTACATGTCCTGTTGGTTCTACCTTCCTAACATCTCTGGAATGCGTCTACTTCTGTCTTCTGCCACCAGCCTATCTCAGACCACCAGGGTCTCTTTGCCTGTGTTCTGCATCTATTGGTGTTATTCTTGCTCTCCTGCAACCTGTGCTCCTGCAGACAAGTACTGGTCTTGCTAGAATAGGAGCATGACTGTGTCACCCCACCCCCACCCCCATGTCCACAGCCTTTCATTTCAAGCCCATCTACCTTACTGTGGCTGCCCAGGCTCTTTGGACTGGGCCTGGCTTCCTGCCTCTCTTCCCTTCCCCTCTTGCCCCCAGTGCACTCCTGGGCTCAGCCATCCTAAACTACTTTCTCCTCTGCACAGCCAGTTCCTTCTTCCCTGGTTGCCTGAGTAGTCCCCACTCATCCTTCAAGACTCAACCTATGCTGTTTTCTTCCAAAAAGCTCTGCCTGAGTCCCAAGGCTGGGCTAAATAAGGACAGATGCCCTTTACCAATGCTCCCATAACATCTGGCACCTTCCCCAGAAGCAGGTATTTCCTGATGTTGTAACTGCCCATTAAATCTGTTGCTTCTGCTATAGTGTGAGATCTGTGAGGGCAAACGTGGCTGTTGGGTTCACAGTTGGATTCCTGGCAGTAGATCATGCCAGGAATATATGTACTCAAAAGATGATCAAACAATTAAAGAATGTTCTCTGAAGATCACACAATCTACAGGTACACACAAGACCCAGACCCGATTCAGATACAGCCCTGGAAAAGCATGAAAGTTTAAAATGGAGAAAAAGGCTATTTGGTGGCTACAAAGAGTTTATTACAGAAAACAACCAGAGCCCCCAGCTCCACGCAAAAATATCCTCTTAAATCCACCTCTAACGTGCATCAGATATAGGAGGGCAAGGCCGGGCACGGTGGCTCACGCCTGTAATCCTAGCTCTCTGGGAGGCCGAGGCGGGCAGACTGTTTGAGCTCAGGAGTTCGAAACCAGCCTGAGCAAGAGCGAGACCCCATCTCTATTAAAAATAGGAAGAAATTAATCAGACAACTAAAAATATATAGAAAAAAAAAATTAGCCGGGCATGGTGGCGCATGCCTGTAGTCCCAGCTACTCGGGAGGCTGAGGCAGGAGGATGGCTTGAGCCCAGGAGTTTGAGGTTGGTGTGAGCTAGGCAGACGCCACGGCACTCACTCTAGCCCGGGCAAAAGAGTGCGACTCTGTCTCAAAAAAAAAAAAAAAAATAGGAGGGCAAATATTTATTGTGCTTCTTGGACTCTTCAGGCAATGAGAATGGAGTGAGGGTTGAGGACAGGGATCTGAGAAGCCACATCAGTCAGCCTTACCTTCATGTTGTCAGGGGGGTCTCCTTCGCCTGTAGTTGCACAAACAAATATCACCAGGGGCTCGTTAATCAGATTCACCTCAACAAAAAGACACACGTGTAAGACCTTGGGCTGTAAATGACCAGGCATCCTCCCTGAAACCTCGTCCCCTCTCTTTCGCTCAGGCTGATAGGGCAAAGGACCTTACGTGAGCAACCCTGGCGACCAGCCTGCCTTTTCTCTTTCAGGCTTCAACTTCTTCCAGGTGCTAAACGGGAAGAACCCCCCCTTCCCAAGGTCCCCCTTCCCCTAAATCCTCCGTAGGGGAAGGGCCCGCTATCAGACAGAACACGAGGCCTTTTGAGTTGACGACCCTGAGGGGCGGGCACGCCAGGCCTGCTGGCGTCTTCCCGCCGTGGCCTTAGGGAGCCCTCACCACAGGGTAGGAGTCCAGGGCCTGCACCCGGCAGCAGAGGCGCCGGCGGCGGGCCTCGCGACCCAGCCTCTCCGACACATCCTCAGCAGTGCCTGTCTGGCTGCCGAAGAGCACCAGAAGCTGCGGGCTCGGCATCGGGGTGCGCCCTGGGGACCCCTAGACCGAGACTGAGCACGGGGAAAACAGCTCCGTGAGCGTGACGGCAAGGACCGCTCCGACTTCCGCCTTCCGCTGTCGGCCGGAAGTGACGCCCTTGGGACGCGCCTGGCGGGGCATGGCGTCCGTGCGCGGTAGGCGGACGCCGTCGGCCTGTGTTGGGTCTCGGGCCTGGGCCGGGGGATCGGCGGCGCACCTGGGCCGAGGGCCGGGGCGGGCGGGGCCGCTCGCTGCCTCTCGCGCGGAGCGGCGGCAGCAGGCCCCGGCGAGGCCCGCGGGGAGAGGAGGCTCAGCCCCGCGGGAGGCACGATCTGTTGGGCCCCGGCCCGCGCTCAACCGGCGCGATGCTCTTCTCACTCCGGGAGCTGGTGCAGTGGCTGGGCTTCGCTACCTTCGAAATATTCGTACACCTGCTGGCCCTGTTGGTGTTCTCCGTGCTGCTTGCACTGCGTGTGGACGGCCTGGTCCCGGGCCTCTCCTGGTGGAACGTGTTCGTGCCCTTCTTTGCAGCTGACGGGCTCAGCACCTACTTCACCACGATCGTGTCCGTGCGCCTCTTCCAGGATGGAGAGAAAAGGCTGGCGGTGCTCCGCCTCTTCTGGGTCCTCACGGTCCTTAGCCTTAAGTTCGTCTTCGAGATGCTGTTGTGCCAGAAACTGGTGGAGCAGACTCGGGAGCTCTGGTTCGGCCTGATCACGTCTCCGGTCTTCATTCTCCTGCAGTTGCTCATGATCCGCGCCTGTCGCGTCAACTAGCCTCTCCAAGGTGCCACAGAGAGAGAGTTGGACAGCTAGCGTGCTGGACCTCTCGCTGAGGCCCTACTTGCACTGCACCAGCAAAGAGGTCTTGATCTGAAGGCAATGCCTGCTTATGCCCAGCTGAGTGCCCAGTTTCCTCTATACTAATCATGTCTGAAATTGTTTCCTCAGCATGGCTAAAAAGAACCGCCTTAATCCTCAAAACATATTTCCTGTTATTTCATGCTTTGAGTAGGCAATCCTGAATTGAGATCCTGAGAAGGGCTCCCGGCCAGACATTTCTGAACTCCTCTGACATTTGGAAGCTGAATATGAGTAAAATGTCCTGATGGGCTTTGAGTATTTTCGATGGATCTTGGGAAAGTACTCCCGTACAAAGGCTGCAAATCTGGGCTTTTGAGGATTTCCTCCAGCCCGCAGGGCTAACCTGAGAACTCACTGCTCCATCCATCCAGACCAGACTTGGTTAGTCATCTTTGTTAGATCTCAAAAGTGTAAATGAGTTTGTATCTGCTCCCCTGTGCTGTGGGAGAGAATGGCCCATGCTTCATTTCAACCCAGTTAGAGAGAGAAGAATGTTGAATAAGAGCACCATTAGGGCCCTATCTGTCTGTCACCTGAGAAAAGAACTCAGCTGTCCAGATGCGGCTTGGCTTCCTGTCTGAGCAAAGACTGCAACTTCACAGACTTTTTCACCACCTTGTTGCTGGCACTGTGAGCACACCTGAGACAGATTTAGGTTTTCCTAAGGTGCTGATGCTCATGGCATTGACGTCTACAAATGGGAAGTTTGTGAGTGGCCCAGCTTTGTTGGCCTGAGGTCTGTGGTTTGATGCCAGTCAGGTGCCAAATGAGAACATTTGCTGAGATGAAAATAAAAATAAGAGAATGTTTTCCTGAAATGAACAGTGGTCACCTGTACCTCTCAAAGGTTAAATAGTATGAATGCATAGATGGTCCTTACTGTATGGTGTAACTGGTTGCAGAGTTGAGGTTGTAGGTGGACTGGAAGGTGTGGCCAGAGCTTAGTGGGTGGTAGTGGTGGAACCACTTCTGGAAAATCCCTGCTTCCTGCTTTAGGTGGCAGGTAGCTTGCTTCCCTCCCCCCCACGCCTCCCAGTGTGAAGACAACAGTCTGGGCTCACGTTGAGGACCTGAAGAATAGTTAGAGTGACACCAGAGCCCTCGGCTTCTTGCCATTGCATGGTCTTTGTGGGCCTTGCTGGTACTTGGCAGCAGGTATCAGCAAACGCTCTGTGGCCTGTTTTTGTATGGCCCATAAGCTGAGGATGGTTTTTACATTTTTAAAGGGTTAAAATAAAAAAATGGTGAAAGAGCGAATGTGACTTGCAGAGTACGGGGTCTCTCAATTCCGCACTCTTGGCCTTTTGGGCTAGATCATTCTTTATTGTGGACATGCTGGGAGGGAGAACAGTCTTGAGGATACAGGATGTTCAGCAGTGACACCAGCCTCTACTCACTAGGTGCTAGTTGCCCCCTTCACTCGTGACAACCAGAAGTTTATCCAGATGTTGCCAGGTCCCTTGGGGCACAAAACTGTCCCTGGTGAGAACCAGTGGGCTGAAGTATTTACTGTCTGGCCCTTTACAGAACAGGTTTGCTGACCTCTGCTCTAGTGCACAGCTGGGCCAATGGTGTGAGCTTTGTGACCCCCTTGCCTGGGATGATGCTTAGTTGTGTAAACTATCGAGATACTTGAGTTGGAGATGACTTATCTAGTTTGTCCCACAGCTACAAAAATGTCTCTTACCCAAGACTGGCTTACCTTTTGTCAGAACCAGATACAAGCTGAATGTTGGGAGTGAGTTTCCTTGTAATGTTATTTTTAGATTTCATGTTATGTGTGTTCTCTTGTTTTATTTGGTAGTTTGGAATTGGGCAATCCCACTGGTGTACAAATGATGAGTATTCTTTGGAAAGATGATTTGAGGATGACCCCAGGGGAGGAGGAATTTGAGTTTTCCAACTCTGAAATCCTATCTTTCTTTTCTCCAGCTTAATAGAATAGTCAAGAGAGTAAGGCAGAGTTGAGGTAGTGGCTGCTGCAGACTGCCGTGGCACCCAGGAGCTGAGAAGGGCACCCCCGCCCCCTCAGGCCAAAACCTGCTTCGCAGAGACCCAGGTACCCTTAGACCTGTGTCCCCGAAAGGCAAGGGGTGTGGGAGGCAGCAGTGTCATTACTGAGCAGGCTGCCGACTGCACAGTAGGTGATGTCTGTGTCAATTCTCCTTCTCATCAGGGCTCCAGGCATTCTCCCTACTGCAGGGGACACTGTGCAGCCCTCCCCAAGGAGGAAATCTTGGACTTCCGCAAGACCTGCCAACCGGGAGGCCGTACCCTTGGGGTCAGGGGCATTCCCTACCCAGTCTTGAGATGGGGCGCAGGGAGTTCAACAGATGAAAGAGGCCTGACCGTACGTTGCAACAGGGCGGAAGATGGAGCACATGCCCTGGCCATCTGGGACCCACTCACACCCTGGCTTTTGTGGCTTTCTTCATTGGAGAGCTGTCCAAGTATGCTTGGCCCTGGTGAGCTTGCTTGTGTGGGGAGGAGGGCCCCTTTTTCTGTGCCTCCTCACAGCTTTGTCCTACACCTATAGATGCTTGGTGGGGCCACGGATGGTAGGGTGAAGGTAAGGTTCTCACACTTGTTTGAGCAACAGAATCAGGTCTGGGAGCCTATAAAAACTAGGGGTTCCTGAGAAATCGATTCCTTAGGGCTGGGCGGGGCTCCAGAATTGGCATTTCCGTCCCCAGAGGTCGGAGGACCCCAGATGGGAGTAGGGTCAGGGCCGGGAGGCGGGACTGTAGCTTGTGGGCCGTCCAAGGGAGCAGGGACAGCTTTCCCAAGCTGGAGCAGCCTCCCCACGGACGCGCTCTCAGTGGAGGGAACAGGTGGGCTGGGTGCTGGCTCAAAGAGGAAGTCCCAAGCCTGGCCAAGGTCAGGCGGGGCGTGGGGCCCAGGGGCAGGGCTCGGGCTGCTGCCCAGGACCTGCCCCTCCCTCCGGCTCCGCCCGGGGGCGCAGCGAGCCGTGGGCGCAGAGGCGGAAGTAGGGGCCACCAAAGCGAGTCGCCAGGCCCGGGGCGTGTCCGAGGGGCCGCGCCCAATGGGAGCCGGCTCTGGGCCGCGCGTTGCACGGTGCGCCCCCTGGAAGGCGGATCCAGGCGGGCGCTCTCCCGTCGGCTGGGTCGGCTGTGGGCCCGCCTCCTCCCCTGCCATTGGCGGAGCGGCTGGCGCGGGGCGGGCCTGCGGGGCGTGGCCGCGCGCGAAGGCCGGCGGCGGGCGGCGAGCCCCAGTCCTCGCGCCGCTGGCTCGCGGCCGCCCGCGTAGTCCGCCGTCCGCGGCGCGTTGCAGCATGGCCGGCCTCGGGCGGCCGGGTCCGGGGCCGCGCGCCGCGCTGCCCGCCTGGAAGCGCGAGGTCCTGGAGCGGAAACGGGCCAAGCTGGCCGCGCTGGGCGGCGGGGCGGCGGAGCGCACGGGCGCAGCCGAGCCGTGCGTGCTGGCCGAGAGCCTGGGCCCGCTGCGCGAGAACCCGTTCATGCGGTTGGAGTCGGAGCGGCGGCGCGGCGCGGCGGGGGCGCGGC